TTATACTAGCTCGTAAAAACGATATTGGATATTGGATTACTAGTCAGAGTAAAGGTATATAACCTTTAAGGATATATGAAGAAGAATTCAAATTGTCTACTGCTGTGTATTGAAGTGTTTGAAAATGATGAAGTCGATCATTCAAACATCAGTATCTATCTAATTTTGCTGATGAATTCACCATGTTTGCTGCTGCCAACTTCGACAACTCTTTATCCGTTATTACTGGAGACTTCAACACCTCAGATTACTCCTTTCTCGAAGCTCTTGGTCACACAAACACAGTCAAATTTCCCACTCGATTTGACAAAACACTCGATCTAGTTTTTACCAATGACGAAGGAGTATATGAAACACGTAGACGTTCACCGATACTTAACTCCGATCACTGCATTGTCCGCGTTTTGCCAAAAATATACAGCAAAACACATATTAAAATCTTCTCACACCTGTCTACGAAAGCACAACAAAGAAGCTACACATCTGACAACCTACTCAATCTAAGATGCATGTTAAAAGATACCAACTGGGATCTATTGTACGAAAGTACATTAGATGACTCAATCACCCATATAATGGATTATCTTAAGTTCTGCCTCGACATAAGTTGTCCCAAACAAACACTGTTCAAACACCTCGACCGCTTCTCGTCTCCCCATCTCAAACAACTTCGCAGGCTAAAAGAAATGTTATATAAATGCAAAGATAAGTTAGGACTTAAATAGGTTAATGCTCAAATCAAATCTGAAATCAAAAATCTTAATGCTATCTATAACCAAACACTTTTATCATGCAAATCTCCTAACAGCATGTGGAAATTTTTCAATGAAATTACTGGCAATAGTAAGCGATCTAATGTTTTTCCCTCTTGTGATGTTAATGCTCTTAATCTGTCTTTTATACGCTCTCCCTCTACTATAACCACTTATAACGTTACTAATCTTATAGCTGATAACTTCCAGGAATTTAATACCCTCGATGTTTTGAAATGTCTTAAAACTCTTAAGCCCTCACATAATCTTGGCCCTGATGGCACACCTGCATATGTTCTAAAACAATGTGCAGATGCTTTAAGTTCTCCTCTAACTAATATCCTAAATGCTTCTTTCTCCGAAAACGTTGTACCTGTTCCATGGAAAGACATTAAAATAGTCCCTGTCCCTAAACCTGGAAATAGCAAGAACGTAGAGTTCAGACCCATTGCCATCACTTCCCCGTTTCTGAAGCTTATGGAAAAACTAGTACTTCTTAAACTCGAACCCTCCCTTAAAAGCTTCGAAGACCCCAAACAATTTGCCTACAGACAGGGTAGGAGTACTTTAGACGCTGCAGCCGTCTTACACAACAGTATCGTCTCATCATTAGGTAAAGGTGCCAAATACGTCCGCTGCACGTTTCTTGACTTCACTTCTGCTCTCGACTCTGTACCTAGATGTCTCTTGCTAAATAAGCCCTCCATGACACAAACCGAGTCCTGGGTCACTAACTGGTTGTATTCCTACTTTTCAAACAGAATGCAGTACACCGTATACAAAAGCAAATCCTCCTCTGTTGTTCTCCCTGAAGCTGGTGTCCCCCAAGGTGCTGTACTCTCCCCACTTCTCTTTTCTTTCTTCCTACATGACCTACCATCTTCAAATGACACTAATTTTGTCAAATATGCTGATGACCTAACTGTATTTCTGCCTATCAAATGTCAAAGTGACTGCTCTAAACTAAATGGCTTCTTATTAGAAATCAGCCAGTGGTCCAAGGAAAACGGTCTCACCTTAAACCCCTCCAAATGCCAAACAGTTAATTACACCTTTAGGCACAAATCTGACCTAAACAAACTGGTTAGCACTCACGAGATGTGCAACATAGATGGCACTGAAATTGAAACCAAGTCGGAAATTAAATACCTAGGTGTCACTCTATCTTCTGATCTTTCCTGGTCGTCTCATATCTTGACGATTTCCAAGAAAATATTCCGTCTTACCTTCTACATCAAGAAGTTAAGACATTCTGGTATAACCCAACCCAACCCTTACTCCTACAATTCGTTAACTCCCGTATTCTGCCTATTATTCTCTATTGTTCCCCCTTAGTTTTTCCTGGGCTACTTAGGAAAGACTATACCTTATTACGCAGGATGTTAAAGGTTGTCAGCAGGGTAAGCAGTTTGCCACTTAACTAGCTTGTTGATATTCTGGTTGACAGGCACATGGACTCATGTGAAAAATGGGCGAAATCCATCTTATCTGACTCACAACACCCTCTACATTCACAACTCTCCCCATGTATCTATTTAGGGAAAACCAGAAGCCTATATAGGAAACTATATGCCCGCACTAGTAAGTACAAAAACTGATCCATACCCTACCTAGCTCGTGTTCTGTGCGATAAAGAATGCATTAGGCGTGAAACCTTTAACTTATTAAATAGTCAGTAGAACCAATGGATCTCGTCTTTCCAACTCACATCATTTATAGGTACAACGTTTTCTCTCTCTCCATTCTGTATTTATTTTTGTTATGTGCTGTTTTGTTTCTCTCTTCCTTGCAAACTCTACTTGAGACATTCTTGTTTCGTTCTTTCACACTCTGTATATCTCGACCATTTTGCTATGGCTTACGCCAGTAAATATGCTAGTAGTATCTACTTTTCTAACACCTTCAAACACACTGCTCAATTTCGGCTTTGCTACCGACATGCTAATATGTTGTTGCCAAAACTGACTGAGATAACTGTAATCCATGTTGAACTATATTTATTGTTAATTTACTAAACTGGATGCAATATTGTAGTAAAATGCTGAGAATTGCATTCTGTATCACAAGTACTGATTTGGAATAAAGCTTATCTTATCTTAGTAAAGTGAATATTTGTGGTAATGATCATGATAGTGCAGATTTGTCTTCGGCTGATCATGATGAGATGAGCGGAATGCCTACTACCACTGCTACTGAGTTGAACAAATGTTCTGCGCAACTTGAACGTGAAGTAAAATTAAGGGCAGACGTGGTGGTAGTAGGTATGGATACTCGGGTGACAGTCACTGTAAATGATCAGCGTGTAGCCCACCTATCACTAAGGTGAATCACCCCATTCTGCAGGAACAGCAATATGCAATTTGAAGGCTCGAGATTTTCATGATTTTATGAGGGCTTAGATCTTTATCTTGAAAAAGATAATAATGAACGCCTTGACAGATCATGCTTTAACCCGTTTTGTGAGCAAGTGATTGTCATCAGGCTCAACTTAATGTTGATCTACAATCACGTAGGATTTGTATTTGGAATCACTCTCCTCCCTTGTTGTCGTAGAACCGTGGGTATACTGGCTCAGCATGATATTGCTTTTAACCGTGTTTAGTGCTCTCGTGATTTTGCATTCGGAATCAGTGTATCCGAAGATTGCTACTACAAACCACTGTGAATAGAATGCCACCTACTAATATTTATGTATACGCGTAACGAGAAAACTCTCTCTACGAAATTCAGAATGTTTCCTTATAACATAAATGATAAGATATTTGAAAGTAACTTCATCATTCTACACATATGTATATGTACATATATTTTGAAACATACCACTCAAGATTTCAAAACATGGACTTATTGCATATGAGTCCATTTATGGACTTGGCACCACTACAACTAGAGAAGGGAGAATATAGCTCTCACGTATGCTCAAAGGTGTATTTATTAGCAATGACAGGATTAGGCCATAGCGATACGCAATCACACCACGAAGCCGCCACTGAGTTCTTGTCTCCTGAGAATTTTGCTGACCAGATTGTGTTTCAGTCCACATGGATAAACAAATTGACCGTTGACAGTGAAAGGTCTGAGACTCAACTGACTTCAAGAACTTCTTTGTTCTCCTACCGTATGGACCCATCTTTATTTATTCAGGACCACTCCTTGGCGTTGAGGCAAACGTCCCTTGTTTTCGCAGGTAGCCGCACAATCCGTTATTGCTTCGGTGGACGTCCAGTAGAGTAGTTGTACGCGACAGGATCTTGTGTGGACCACAGGACGTCATGTGATGAAACAGTTGAAATGGCGCGATCGGAGTTAGATGTCTCATCAGTCATTTACTCACCTGGCCGAAGAGTGAGATACTGACAGTAATAATAGGGATATATCGTTCATGGCAAATATACAGTTAGAGACAAACAGTTAACGAGAATCGAGAAACGAATGTATGGGTACGCCACGCAAAGATTGGTGTTGTAATGGTAGACTAGAAGCGAGGTGGCTAATGAGAATAAAAATGAACTTCACACTATTCTTAAAAGTCCCACAATGCAAAGTCTCTACAAATATTAAGACGGCAAAATTTGAACAAGATGAACCCTACAACCTCAGGAAGCATAACTGTCTAGTTGACACATTGGAAGCCTTAGAACCTTTGACGACCTGTGCCTAAATTTCGAAGGGAATGGCATAATGTATTCTATGTTTTCAAACCTCGTTACAGTTTATATAAGGTCTAAACCATAACATTACCTGAAACATAGACTGTAGAATTCTTGATGTAGCTCACACGGAATATAAGGTGTTCCATGATGGCCGACCAAGTATCTAAGTGCAAATAATGACCTAATTCGAAGAACACCTTGTCAAAAACCGTAGGCAGTGCTTTGCAGCTACCCTTTTATTATAAAGTATGTATCTCGAGTTAGGCATATTAACTGACTCTCAATATGCTACTAGAAACAACGCCCTCCAAGATATTTACACAGAATTTACTATGTGTTAGTAGTCTGTTACATCCTTCACAAAGCGAAGTCTGTATTGTGAGTACATTCTCCGTCATACCTGCGATCTGAGTGTCCGAATTCATACACTCACAACACATTTTTGGACTCACTGAGCTGAAACGTAACCTAACATGTAATTAAGCAGAAAATTCACTAAAGGCTAGTCAAATAAAGCCAAGAAATCCGAAATCTCAAGGTGTATACAAGAGGTCGAAAAGTATTGGATATTGGGTTTTTAATTTTGTTTAGTCAAGCCATCGCACGTCGGACAACGGACAGTAGTTGAGGAGTGCGCTTACTATTGTAGTAGTTCGTGTCAGAATGTCGGAAAGGTGAGGTTGTCCATTAGTCTACAGGCTTCCAGGTGTCTCTTGTGAGTGTGTTAGTCGACTTAGGGATTTTGACAGAATGATGTTTGCTTGGAGTTGTCAGCCAATTGTTGTCCAACGGACAATTATGTCGTGCAGTTGCGACAGTCGCAGTAATTGGAGATCCAGGTCATATTCAATGCTGATTGTAAATAGAATTGCATACTACAATCTATATGACGGTCATTTAAGCACTGCTGAAATACTCGGTTGTGTTTTGTAGAGGGTTTTAAGGACATCCACGTAGACGTGGGGCACCAGGCCTGGTGGTTGGGGAGACCGTGGTGAGTCAGGCTGGTTCTGTGGAAATGGGTGGATGTGGATTGATTTGTATGATTCTCGCCATTAACATTACCCACATAACTGCCATCCTCTACGTGCAAAGCTGAGAAGTATTTTAGCGCATACCTCACCAGTATCTTTCTATTGTGGTTTCAGGTGCAGCTCGGAAGCAGTGTAACTAAGATACCCCAGAGACTGAACGGGTTTACCACAGAGTGGTGACTCGGAAAGTCATCTGAACTTTGGTGCATCAAGCTTTTATGACGGAATTGAGTTGTCTAACCGCACTGAGTAGTCGGGGTCCACTTGTGGTGTGTTTCGGTGATGGTCGTGCACGTTAACTACCTGTTGACTGGAGTTCCTGAGAATCTGTGTGGAACGAAGACTGACGAGGTGTGGCTAACATGGAGGATGAGGAGTGAGCATGTTGTCTGTAATACTATGGTAGTATTGGCTCCTACTATCCCAAGAACCATGGTTAGACATGCATACTCCGTGGTCTAGACCACCAGTTATTACGTTGGAGATATGTACTTCGCTTCAACTTTACTAGTCCGAAATCCCGTGTTTTCAAACCTGAGTCGTCGATGGTTGCAGTGGGATAATGATTGTATTACCTCTACCAGACAAAACACAGCAAGTAAATATGTACGCCATTGATTGATTCATTTAACTTGTTTGTTCGACTCTCTTAATCCCCATCCCCACCCAATGACTATCGTTGGTGAATTGTAGATCAGATTTGTCAGCTGCGATTCCACACATAAGATGAGAGTAGGGGAAGCTATGTGACACCTAGTTATCGTCAATTCGACCTCTGATTTGACATTGTGAGGTGTAGAAGTCATGAATTTTGTCCTGTTCATTTAGCTACGGTGGTTTGCAGTTGTTTCATGAATGATGAGTTGGCGAGCAGTAGTATTGTGTCTGTTGTGTTCGGATACGTATTATGTAGTCTGCTGTCATTTTCCAGATTGATTTTTCAGTCAGCCTCCACAAATGACAGAGTAGCAGTGTTCGTATTCGTGGAGTGCATAACGACTAATATGTTGTTTTTCACCTTTCAGGTCACGCGTTAACAATTCAGGACCGTTGAAGAAGCCTGCTGAAAGAGGTTATCCAGCGTAAGTTTATGAATGCTCACAATAACTCGTAATAGTTCGTCTGGTTCTGTGTGGAGTTCCAATACACCTAGTGAACGGGGTGATATTCCGTCGTCTTCGGAAGGCGAAATTGCCTCGGAAGCTGCTCGCCAGAAAAAGAGCCATCCAGTCCAAAAAGCTGTGTGAGTACTATTCCTGTTGTTCCTTCAGATAACACGACATGTTTTGTCTTGATGCCTAACTAGCTTTCGTTTCTTTGTTTCAGGTATGATATATCTACGGGTATTTCGAAGTAAGTTGACGTCAAATAAACTCTAACAGTATTTGTCTTCATTGCTTCCTTCGGTAACGCTCCCGAATTGACTATTATTTTCAGACTAAACATACAGAAGACACTCAGAATACCGAATAGACCAGACCAAGGAGGTACAATCGGCAAGAAAGTCAAAGTCACTTCAAACTGTTGGGATTTGACATTTCATCACAGAACGGTATATTTGTATTTTGTGGAGGCCAACTCAGTTCATCGATTGGAAGCTAAGGAGGGCAGTAAAACTGAGATAAGAATGCCACCTAAAGAGTTGAGATCTTTAATTCAGCAGGTAGCTGACTCGTAAGTACCATTGTGTTATTGATCAAATGAATTGTTCACATATGTAACGGAACTTTCTGTTCCTTAATTATTAAGCTGAATTGTTTCTCTGACTTTTGGTCAAGTATTGCTTGCTTGTCAACCAAAGATTCGTACACGTGTGGGATAACTTGTTCCATGTCCCACACCATTCATTATGTGACTTTGGTTACTGTCAGCGTTGTTTAGAAAGAATTGGTGAAGTTGTTGGTTATGGTTTCTATTGAGAGCACTGGTATCTATTCATAAACCTCACGCTAAACAATTATGCTTATTTCACTCGCTTCTGCAGTTTACCAGATACGACCATATACGATGGCGGTCACGCCATATACTCTGAAGATCCGTTACCTGGTGTCACAACGGACCCCGTAGAAAGAGAGATTGAGATCAAGGAGCCGTTTGGTCGGGACCGCCTTCTTCTGAAGTACCGGATTATGGAAGTGCAGAAGGTATCTACTTCCGATATCAGCCATTTCATAACGAATCCGAAAGCGACCTCTATGAATATGCCCCAAGTAAGGCTGGATATGTTTCATATTTGTTTCTAGGAATGTATCAGATTGTTAGACTGCATCTTGAAGACGGTGTCAAAGCAGTCGTTTGTATCCCTTGGACGCTCAGCCCTATTTCAGCAAACACCAATTAAAGTGGTTATGGATAAGCTTTTCACTATTCATAAGGGTTTCATCAGTAGCGTGCGACCCCAATGGAAAATTCGTGTCAACTTGGATATGGTAAGTAGTGATTCACCTTCTATTTTACATATAATCACAGACGTGCAAGGCCTACTTTGTATCCGGGAATCTAGCGGACGTCATGTACTCGAAGTATGGAGACGATATGGTTAGATGTAGCACTCAAATGGCATACGACTTGAGAAAGATACGAGTTGAGACTGATAAATTCTACAAGAGCGATGATGGTATGCATGTTTTCTGTTATACCTCATACATTTTAGGACGTGCATATTCCCGACGCTTCACCGTGCACGGAATATCATCACTACCAGCCGACCGTTTGATGATTGAGGAGTTGAACCAGTCCGTGGCCGAATATTTCAAGCGGCACCATCATATCACTCTGAAGTATCCAGAGCTGCCCTGTGTGAAGGTAAATTTGCATTTCAGTGATTATTTTTGTAGGTTGATCAAAAGCGTGAAGTGTATATGCCTATGGAACTGTTAAACATTTTGCCCTATCAAGCTCCTAATGCGAGTAAAGCCGATATTGCGAGTGAAGTTATCCGTTGTGCAGCAATTCGACCACAGGAGCGCTTCAGAGAGCTGGAGAATTTTGCCAATAATATGCTGAAGTAAGAGTTTCATTTATGAGTTGATACCACCGGTCAGTACTAAAGTGTAGTGTTGCTTATTGATCCAAGAGTTGAGGGTAAGCATGTTGAGATAGACGAGCTTTCGATGATTGATTTCTTCGGCATTCCATGAAGCTTGTAGCTCGACACTCACTGTTTTAGCGCACTTGGGCACCAAATTGACATTGTAGACTTGATCATTTGCCGATTGTATCAACATCGAAGGGTAGCTCGCCTAGTTCCATGACAGCCCACCTACTTTATTGTTCACTGCATTACGTCGGTGGCAATATCATCATCTTTTATTTGTCAGTGTTTAATGCTCTGTATACAAAGAGGAGGTTTTGTCTGCCTTTTAATAAAGTGAAGGAAATGTTGTCAGATGGGTAGAGTAGCCTGAGAAGTGTGCACTTAATTCTGGTTTGTTGTCAAAAGGCATGTGTTATTGTTGAAAACAGTTAGTTGCTTTTATAAATTTAGATAGTGTTTTTAGAAGACGGAGATTATCTGAAAAGTGAGACGTATTTGCGCGATACATTTGGAAGAACTTCTCATGTTATTGTTATTGTCAAATGTAAACGCGAGAACTGACTGCTTCATCTCCTTGCCATGTTTTCTTCCTAGCGGTCTCATGGTCATGTACAGAAGGTGATATCGGAATTGCCTAGAGCGGCCAGTCGCTTTGGTGTTCGGTTTAGCCCTCGACCGATTGTGGCACAGTGTCCGAGAGGAGAACTAAACAGGAGGTTCGAGGAGTTTTCCAGACAAGGCTGTGGCTTCTTACTTCTCATCCTGTACGATGAACATTTCTACTCATCGATTAAACGTCTGAGTGACCTGCAAATGGGGATTCGGACTCAATGTATACGAGCTCGTACTCTGGACAAACCGAACGTTTTCCGTAAGTAATGAGTGTTGTTCACATGTAGCCTTCAGTGTGTTTCTGTATTTCGATGAGTTTAACTCGGTTTTCTGCTTTCAGCGAACCTGTTACTCAAACTGAATGGGAAACTCGGCGGTGTGAACTGGCGAATTCCTGACCTTATTAAGGACAGTCAAGAGTTGGTTATGGTTTTTGGAGCCGATGTCTCTCATCCTGCGCCTACACAAACTCATCAAATTCGAAAGTCAGTAGCTGCTGTTATTGGTAGTGTTTCACCCGATCTTATGAGGTACGGGGTAGTTATCCGTCAGCAGGCAACCACAGAAAAGGGGAATAAGGCAGCCAGAGAAATAATCGATGATATGCGTCTCAGTGTCAAGGAGCTACTCCAGGTTAGTTTTCATCAATGACCAACTCTACTGACTCACATTCCCCTTTTTCCCGTTGTACGCTTTCGTTCTTCCTTATTATTTGTGTTTTGTTGCAGCTTTACCTGCGTAACACGAACGGGCGTTTCCCGACGCGCATGATATTCTATCGCGATGGAGTTTCGGAGGGCCAGTTCGAAAATGTGTTGGTGGAAGAGCTGTGTGCAATTCAACGAGCTTGTGCAGATGTCCGTCCTGGCGAGGAGCCAGCTATCACTTATATTGTTGTGCAAAAGCGACACCATATTCGATTTAGACCATCTGACACCAGGAGCTCGATACTAGCACACTTAGTGAATACGGAGTACAGGATTGATAGAAATTGAACCTTTACAATTCTATACAAGGTTTCCTCTTAGTTCTTTAGGCTTGTACGTCTTCGATGGCTAAGCATAACTCAGGCAGTTGCTTTCAAATTTTTCAGCACGATACACATGTTACTGTAATTTATGAGTCGGTTTTGGATACTTAATTATCATAGAGTGGGAAGATGATTGTCTCATATACTTAAACAACAACAATATATATGTATATATATATAAGCTTATCTTTGCAACGAGATATAGCTAGTGAATTATTGGCATCGAAACTAAGAGAAATATTAGCCTAAATAAACTTCGCCGCAACACTCTCTTTCAAAACGATCCCTCCAGCCTTCTTATTTCTACTGAATATATTCACTATTGTGACGAAACAATTATTTTCAACTTTACCATTAATATGTGATCCCATTTCCCAACAATTTCAGTTGACTCGACAATGTACTGTCAATTTATAGAGAAGATTTTATTTTGATAAATCGCACAGTGTTTACAGTTATATGAACTGATGACGTTTCGAACACAAACTATTGCTCATAATCATATCAAGTTACTCACACAACTTTGATCTCTCATTTATATACATATGTGGAATGGATTAGATATTGGATTAAAAATCAATGTGAGATAATGTACATTCAGAAATAATCGTACGAGTGTTGTTGATCAATTGCAATTAGATGGGAAAATTGGACGAGTGTTTTTACATTATCAAGAGAACTAAGCTCTAGTGAGATAAAAGTACTTGAGAAAGGACTAAATTTTAACGTAACAGTTAATAAATTAAAACCAGAGGACGTTATTCCTAACATAGAAGCAGCACTAGGTTCAATAGACAAGACAACAGCAGAAGAGGTTAGAGCACAATGTGCGTTAACCCTGAAAAATCAAAAGAAGGCAAGATCAAACTTAACAAAATCAGAAAGGGAAGCTTTAATTAGTCTAAAACAGGATAAAAATATTGTCATCGCAAAAGCGGACAAAGGAAACGCCACCGTAGTTCTGAATAAATCTGACTATATCAAGAAAGTCAGTGAACATATTGAAACGGGTCCATATGAGGAAATTAAGAAGCCTGTAGATACAATAATGAATAAGGTAAAGAAATCTACAGCGGAATTAATACGGAGAATGAAGCCGTCACTGGGTGAGTCTAAATGGTTTACTTTAATGCCTAAAACTAATAATACTAGTAGAATATATGGTACTATTAAAATACATAAACCAGGTTACCCCATAAGACCAATAGTAGATTTTAGAAATACTCCCACTTATGAATTATCAAAACACTTAGCTCTAATACTTTGTCCCATTAGAAATCGCTCAAACTCTAGACTAACTAATTCATATGAGATGAAAAGTAAGCTAAATGACATTCAACTAGAGAATGATGAAAAAATGGTTAGTTTTGATATAACTAGTCTTTACACTAATATACCAGTCATTATGGCCTTAGAAGCAGTTAAAAAAGAACTAACTGCGGATCCTGAACTGAATCATAGGACAAAGCTGCCCATTGAACAAATTATGTTAGGGATTCAGTTATGTCTCACATCTACCATCTTTAAGTTCCAAGGCAAAATATATAAACAAACAGAAGGTGTAGCAATGGGATCACCAATATCCCCTATTGTAGCAGACATATTTATGGACAGCTGGGAAAGTAGTGCTCTTAATACGTTTAACCCCACTCCAAAAATATGGTGATGATATGTGGATAACACTTTCACAGTGTTAAAAACAGAACATATCTCTATCTAGCTTCTTGACACATATAAATTCACAAGTAGAGGGAATAAAATTCACATTTGAATCAGAAAATGAACTAGGAGAATTAGCTATGTTAGACTGTAAAATAAAACGAATAGAAGAAGGCAAACTACATACTAGTGTGTACAGAAAACCAACTCATTCTAATAGATATTTAGACTTTAATTCATCTCATCCGTTAACTGTTAAGGCAGGCTTAGTGAAGTGTCTGACAAACCGAGCAGTAGCACTAAGTAGCACAAAAAAAGACCTAAATGATGAAATAAAACAGATAGAAGAAGCGTTGGTGTTGAATAACTATCCTATAAAATTCATTAGGAAGATCACCAAAAACCAAAAGCAAAATAAAAATAATGGTGAAACTATTAATGATAACACAAATAAGAAAGAATATAAGTCATCCACTGTTATACCATATAAGGAAAGCACATCTGAGGCCCTACGTAGGATTCTTAATAAAGCAGGAATTAGGGTGGCATTCAAACCTACAAACTCACTCAGAGACAAGCTCTGTAGGCTAAAAGACCCGGTGGATCCAATTAAACAAAATAATATAATTTACAAAATACCCTGCAATAACTGTGAGGTCAACTACATAGGTCAAACTAGTAGGTCAGGGATAGTCAGATTAACAGAACATAAGAATTTAGCTAAGGTAAGAATGGTTGACCCAGAGAAGATAAGTAATTTAGAAAGAAGCTCAGCTATTGCACTTCATGCAATAACAAACAACCACACAATAGGGTGGGATAGGGTTAAAATTCTGAAAAGTAATATAGCTTAGTGGAGAGAGAGGTTGATTACGGAATCCTTATTTATCGAGTCCACACCCAACACATGCAACAAAAATGACTCAATGCAAATACCAGAGATATGGAAGATATTATTACCGCAGGTCAAATCAGAAGAGGGTAATAAATAATATTAAAATTCTATTTCGATTCAAACACATCACAACATCCTAACAAAAAACTTATTATGACTATTAAAACACTCGTCGTATCTTCCATCTGATTATAGTAGATCAATAACACTCGTATTAATGCCATCAGTCAAACCAGAAGAGGGTAATAAATAATCTTAAAATTCTATTTCAATTCAAACACATTCTAACAAGCAGCTTATTATGACTGTAAAAACACTCGTCCAATTTTCCCATCTAATTGCAATTGATCAACAACACTCGTACGATTATTTCTGAATGTACAT